TTTCCCTGAATTTTTCCAATTTAACCTTTTTACCTGATTTGAGGCCTGCTAGGCGCCACCATGGTTGGTGCCGAGCAAAACGGTTTTGAAAATTTGAAGTCTCTAGAACGTCGGAGTGGCATTTTTAGATTCTTTTAAGTTAAGGCCTTCGAGTTAAGCCCCTGCCGCGCCCTTTTACGCCGGGGGCTTTACTCGATGAACATAAGTGTTGTTTACCATTTACATGGAAATTCCGGTGATTCCGTACGGAAAGTAAATGGAACAGGCATATTTCGACGGCCGAACCGGAACTTTCCCGGAATAAACGGTTTGTTTGAAAAGGTTGTCCTTTCTTACCGATTGGAAAGTTTCAACCGGTAAATGTTGTCCATTTACATTTTTCAAATTTTTTCACCAGTTCCTGGCTATTCGCGATTTAAGAATTGAAATTATTAAATGGAAAGCGAATAATCCGAATGGGATTTTCTATCCGAAATTTTGCTTACCATTAGCACAATTTCAAACCGGATGGGTTTTACATGTAAATGGTAAACAACCAAGGTTGCTTAGTACTTAGGGTTAAAGCCCGGGGCTTAACTCGAAGTCAACTAACGATTTTAGTATTCGAGTTAAAAGCCCCGACATTTGGTAGATATGAAAAAGTGACGCGCGTATACTATGAGTAAACTATTTCTAACAAAACAATTTAGTATGATGTAACGCTCTATAGTATTCAAGTCCCCTACTTTGGAGAAGAGATATATCTTTAGGGAAGCCTCACATATCGATTTTGTCCATGAGAAACGTGATATGGACGTTTCTCTGAAGACCCTCAACCCCATCCCCCCTTTGAAACGTTACACGTACTGTAGTTATCAATATTTTGTTCTTCTAGTACACATGCATAAGGTAATTTTCTACTATTTCCTACGATCGGCTATTGGCAATGCTTCCGCGAGGAATATGTCATCTCCTGACATTTTTTTTTTAATATTACATATGAACTTTGAAATTTCCGATGTTTCTCAAAACAATACTTTTGCCTGAAATATTGACAATGGTAGCGCGTTTAATTTCTTGAAATTTGAGTATTTTCAATGCAAGGAAGGTGTATAATAATAATATAAATGTATAGAACAGGTATGTTATTACGAATATATAGACAGGTGTTTGTATATCAAGTTGTTTTCTTTTTTATATTCTGCAAAGATGATTCCGAAATGTTAAAGATTTCGAAAAAACTATCGAATTTTTCCATGACGTTTTACAGAAGATTGTCACAGCTGCAGACCCCCAACCCCCCAAACGAACATATGACGTTTCTTGTGGACAAACTCGATATGTGCACGAGGCTTCGCTTAGAAAGGTAGCTTGGCACCACATGAACATGCCTAAGATTTGCGTTCTGCAAGTGCCGCTATATAATATTTATTTTTTAAAGCAGTAATCGCTGTCCTGAATGAATTGTTCTTTACAAGTCCTTATTGAGTTCTCTTATTTCACGTTTTTATTGTCTTGTCGGTCATCATCACGAATTGCACGTCAAATTTCCATTCTCTACTTGTGTGTAAATTGAAACATGGCTATGGATTGCCGTTTACAAGAATGCAAAAGGTTTATTCCCTTGTAAAAGATTACCAACAATTCGTAACAATGTTCTCGCACGAAAACATATCTGCCGAAAAGAGTGAATTACTGTATATAAGTTCCTGAATGGCGATCTATTTTTCGACATGAAACTCTGGCCCGTGTGGATAAAGCGTTTGTTCTGGAAAAAGCCATTGGGCGACGAAGACTCATTTAAATTGTTGTGTTTTTCACTGGCAATGGTTGTCCCCAATCGTTACTGCGAAGTGGATATTAACTTCTCAACTTTGGCATTCCCAAAACAACGTACAGACCAAATTAGAAAAGAGAATAATGCAAATGAACAGTTTTTGTTGTAATTCTATTTTGGCTTTCATCTCTCTTTTAACGCGAAGATCCATTTTTTGGCATGATACAGTGTCTGCTGTACATCGTGGAGAAAAATATGGAAATACAGAGCATTTTGTGAATTTGAGAAAACTAAAATTATTAACATGCTGTAATTCTTGAATTAAACTGCATTCCCGAATATCGATATAATTACTATAATACAGTCAAACATAATTATGCGATCGACTAAGGGCATGTTTACATGGAGGTAGAGTGACCCTAGGAGAAGGGTTACCCTAGCAAGCGGGTTACCCTACTTCAATATGTTTTATAGGAAGCGTTTACATGCGCGCTAGGGTTACCCTAGGGGTAGGGTTACCCTATCAAACAGATAGGGTGACCCTAGCAGCAGGGCTATCTCTTTGTTTACATAAGCCATGTAAACGCGTCAGGTACGTGTAGGGTTACACTAGCAAGCGAGGCATGTTTTATACGTCCTACTGTGACTGGTGGACAAACAAGGATGGCGTCGCTAGATTATACATATGAACATATCAACCTGGCGAGTATGTTAAACGACATCAGAAAAAAAGGATAAGTAATTTACAAATAAGGAAGCAGAGGCATAGAACGAAGCTTTGCCTTTGGACGAGAACTCTGCGAATGATGTTAGTTTCGATACAATGTCAAAGACGGAGAAAAGGAAGCAAAATTCCGGCGCATCCTCATCGATGTCAAAAAAACAAAATAAATGCTCTTGGTCAGCCGAACATGTCGAAAAACTGTTGTGTTGGACTATATCAAGGAATACATTACGCAATGCGAGTAATAGACCACAACATTGAAATGACAGACCACAACATTGAAATAACAGACCACAACATTGAAATGCAGCAACCAAAGCCCCAATAAATAGCATTACACAAGTTGCCGCTAAAACTTTGCGTTTCGGCGCCATTTATCCAATACAAACGGCTTAGCGACCACGCGTAGGTAGGATTACCCTATCGGGTAAATAGCCGTAGCAGTAGGGTCACCGTACCTCATGTAAACGCTCGCTATTTTCTGACCCGCTTGCTAGGGTAACCCTCCTGATAAGGTCACCCTACCTCCACGTAAACAGGCCCTAAGTTCTGTTCCCTGGCTGTAATATGAAACGAAATAAACATTGTTTATAAAATGCATATGCACGCATACTTCATGCAGTTTTGTTTCAATCCGCGTGTTTGCACGGGCCAAATCAAGATAATTGCACTGTTTTTATTGATTTGTTACACTTGCCTTTTAGATCACACATTAGTGGAGGCAGATTGTCTAGTGCATGTAAGGGAGGTCAAGCTTCGCAGTGTAAACACAATATCTATTACTGTATTAGTTTTCACCATGAGCATATAGGCATATTGAATTCCCCGGCACATAAAGTCACGGAAGTTAAGCGACAATTCGGAAACAAACACGACAGTGCATGATATACAGTACTTAAAATAATAAATTGAAATTTAAGTTAGTAACTGTAGAGAATAGTCTTAATAACTTCAGCGTTTCGAGCTATGAAAAAAGGCCGGGGGTAAATGTAGAATTTCCGTAAATGGACACATTCATATATATATATATACTTCTTCGCGTTGTGTAATTGAATGAATCGTGTTACTGTCGATGCAATGGAAGTGTTGATAAAATATTGCATGAATTCATTTCCTCAAGTTGATCAATTCATACGAATTCAAATTTCTTTTTACTTCCTGTGCGTTTCCCATTGGTCAATCGGTTCCGAAACGAAATCCAATTGGCTCATCCAAAAGTAGCAGAAAGTTGATCAATTTTCTATCAAATGAATTGATCAACTTGAGGAAATGAATTGGTGTAATATTTTATCAACACTTCCATTGCATCGACGGTAAGTAAAGAACGAGGGAAGCGTATTAATTCTCACTCTCACAAACCACGTTTAAGTTATTTCAAAGAACCGTTCTGAACATTTATACACTTCTGTGCACAGTACGCGTGTTTCATGCACATTGTTAGATCCACTTCTATACGTTAATTGTTATTTCAAAGAACGAGGGAAACACATTGATTAACTATCGCCTCTCACACGAAGCACATTCCGAATACAATCCTGCTGCACAAAGCACGCAAACTATTTTAAAGAACGACGAAAAATGATGTAAAAGATCTAGGCGTTCTTCATGTACATTTTTGGACACATTTCTATTAGGTGTATTCGTTGTTATTCTAAAGAACAAGGGAAACACATTGATTAGCTGTCGTCTATGTCAAAAAGCACATTCCGAACACAAGTATGTTACACAAAGCACGGTAAATTATCTTAAAGAGCGACGGAAAGACGACGTTATAGTTAAAGATCTAGACGTCTGCATGTTTAGAGGTCAGAAAACCTCTTAGACCTCTTAGGCACAGAACATCGACTTATTCGATTTAAAAAATTTAACCATTCGAACGAATACGAGAGACTTCACGAACCGAACAGTTCGTACGCGTACGAATGTACGAATATTACTAAGTGGACCTCGATACAGGTGATGACGTCATCGGTAAGTCAAATCTAAGCATTCGAACGGATATGGGAGAGCTCACGAATCGAACGGTTCGTACGATTCGTAGGAATGGTGCAAATAGTCTAGACCTCTGTACAGGTGATGACGTCATCAGTAAGTTGAATAGTGATCAAATTACCACGAATAACTTAGACAGAGGGTAAATTAACTTTTTTATCATTCGAACGATTCAAACGAAACCTAGCGGTGTTCACGGATCGCTAAGAGTCGAGAGTATTGGACAAGATTGCAAAAATTACAAGGAAATCCATTTTTTTATAGGTTTGTCATATTATAGAAGTCTCATTGAATGGTTTGACATATAATCCTGCCGAGTATTTTACTTTTTTTCTCGAAACTCGTAAAATTTTCCACCGAACTATATGTCAAACCATTCAATAAGATATATAAGGTATATTAATAGGCTTGCTGTTATAGCTAACTTTAACTGTGTTGATTGCACAGCTTTGTTAAAAAGTTAAAATATTCAAAACAACTAAGCATGGATATAAAAATGTGTCATGAGCCCTTAAAATAACAATAATTTCAACGTACCGGGATATGTTCAACATCGATGAAAAACACCCAGCCTTGATCATTAGTCATTGCCGTGTTGTTTTTGCCTGTAGTGTTGCTGAGTTGACAGTTTACTGGTGGAGTATTTGTACCAGATTTGTATTTAAATCCAACACATGTTTGGTCTTTAAGACAGTTGAATGAACACTCGATGTCAGAACGGACATTGTGAGTGGATATAATATCTGCCAATGTCAACGATGGAACTATTAAAATAATCATAGTAGTCATTAAGCAACCAATCAACCAACGGTACAAATACACCAACGATATAACCAACCAACAAACAACCAACCAGCCATTCAACGAGTAAGTAATCAGTTACACGTAATGCAATATCTCGCCTCTGATTTTGTCAGCAAAATGATTCCCTGCAAGCTTGAAACTTCTTATTTCGTCAAGCTTGAATGTCAACAAGTTGTTACAATATTTTCATTTTATCAAGTCGCCAGTAAAATATTAACAATAATTTATTTAACCGTCTGGAAACAGTGTCACGTAATATTTATTGATAATGAATAATATTGGCTAGCAACCGACTGTGGAGTTGTCAGTTGTTGACAAAAAAGCTGGACAAATTTGGAGTTTTGAAATAATATTAAACTCAGGGACGTTATATCGTTGATATGAAAAAATCATATATACATTTGATGACATTATGCTGTGAACATACGTATACAAAATATGGAAACACCAGCACCTTCGGAGTCGGAAGCAAATTTTATAGGGAAATATTTTCGGAACGGAAAAACGAACTGCATGATGATTATTTCCACGGTTTTAAACCTGCATGCAGGTGTAGATGTCGTTTTTATCTTTTAAACAAATAATACAACCATTATTGAATTCGATTCTTGCATGATATGAAGAATCATCTCGGCCTCAGTTCGGGTTATCAATATCCACTTTCGGCTTCGGTTGTTAACACAAATTTCCGCTTTGATCATTTTTCATATCACGCTCAACCTCATTCAATAATTATTAAATATAGGCTATTGCGATACTTACCAATAAAAGATATACTATAGATTAAAAATGCCTAATTCGGCTGGGGTTGTTACCTTACATGGGTGCGAAAATATTTGGCAGACAAGTGAAAATAACAAACATGAAGACGAACAAATAACTAAATAAACAACCAATGTGAGGATAAAAGCTACTATTGGTAAGGTTTTCGGCAAAGGAGTCGACATAAAGCATACCTTTTATATCTTTCTTAAAAACCTTCTCCGAATGTTCGTTGGCCGTTAGCTGTCCCAGTATCAGGAAGATGTTGCATTGCAGCAGTAAATTTCGAAAAACTGACATCGTGTGTGATCAAGCAATCTGTAAACAATAAACACACATTTTTAACTTGAACTGTTGTTTTCATGATTCAGCAGGTAGATTATATCTTATCATGTGCACAGGCCGAAACTCACAAGTTGCAGCAGGTCTTCTCCAGACTTGATTCAACATGCGATCATCAAGCCGATATCAGCGCATCGCTTGCTCCAGCTTGATAATTCAAGTCTGTTGCAAGTTGTCAACAGACTTGCTGTAAGTTGTCGTTCACATAATTGCTGCAAGTTGTGAACACTTGATGCAAGCTGTGAACTGCAGACTTAATGAACGTTGTAAACTGGAGGCTTGCTGTAAATTGTGAACTGCAGGTTTGATGCAAGTTGTCATCCACACAGTGGGGAAAGCTCCTTATGAAGCTTCGTGTAGCCACTATTTTGAAGAAAAAAACGGCCAAACAGATTGCCATATTTTGGTTGTAGTGTTTCGTAAAATAACAAGACTTTTATATTAGTAACAAGTTTGCGAGATAATTTTTGAGCAAAACAGCCGAAAAAATACGACAAAGAAAGGTTCTAGCTTATCGTAAACAATTTTAAAAATTAATTGCGTGGTCTGACTTTTTGTGCGACCGAAATATGACAACCTACTTGCATCTTTTTCTTCAAAATAGTACATACACAAAGCTTCAATAAGGCGTCTCGCTCGCAGATTTTACTTGAAATTTGGAAAGATCTAGAAATAACGAATTTCATATTCATATCAACCATGAAGAACGTTGAACACTCGCGGTTGTTTATGTATTTTTCATTTCTTAAGCTCTAGATCTTGTATTCTCATTGCGATGTACTTTCTTCAAAAATCAAAACCGACCTTTTTAAAGCTTTTAAAAAAGCTTTCTTCGCTTCCTTGTGAACTTGTTTAATTTTGTTTGAGGCAGTTCCCCAGTTGTCAGTTGTTGACATTTTCTTGGCTCAAAAACAAGTAAACAACTAAACATGATTTAGAATTACGTGATTGATATGATTGTAATATTACGTCTAATTGCAACGAGGAATGATGATGTGTGTACACGCCTTTATCCAATCACATTAAAGAAATATATTATTATTATTATTATTATTATTATTATTATTATTATTATTATTATTATTAAAATCTTTATTGTCTAGAGTCACAACAGACGTGCAACTTTACAAATGTCAAATTTCTATTTATTACAGTTAAAAATTTATCTATCCTAATTAATTATATGAAAGTTTAAAATAGTTAAAAAGACATCTATTTATGAAGGATCGTTTAAATCGTTCATTATTAATTTGAGGTAAAATAAAGTTATGTTCCCTTTGTCTTAAAATCCTTTGTTTACACACAGGAAGCAATTCATGTAGGGCATGTTCTGGATTCGATACGATTTTGCCTAATAATTTTCTGTCTCTCTCCTCGATCACTTCAGATATCTTAATACTTTTTGTCGTATATCCATAACGATAAGCCCGCCGGAAAAACTTGTCTATACGATCCAAATATTTCTTTTGGAGTGCAGAGCCCAACACTTCAATGCAATAGTAAAAGAGTGACATGATTAGCGAATCGAATAATTTGCTTAGCTGATCTGCAGGGTAACCATAGCATCTACATATACATGCAGGGTAACCATAGCATCTCAATATGTACATACGCCCTCTAGCCATGCATCGGCAGAAGATCATCGATATGAAGATCCCAGCAACATGGATTTTCCTGAAATGTGACACCTAATAATTTCAACCAGCTCTTTCGTTCAATGCCTACAATCGGTGCCGGTAACGGTTTCGTAGACCCACAGTGCACAACCATTTTCCACGTTTTAGAAAAATTTAATGTCATTTGATTTGCTTCCGACTAATTCTGAATGCTTTCCACCTCAGCCTCAGCAGAATCCGATCCTGATTTTATTGGAGCACTTGTCGTTATATCATCGGCGAATTTAACCAATAGGTTGTTTTGCGCATCAATGGATTTTATATCATTAACCATCAATGAAAATAGAAAGGGACCCAAAACCGTACCCTGCGGTACGCCTTTGTTAATATCAACATAAACAGTTTCTATGCCATCAACAACAACTCTTTGTTTTCTATTGGCCAGAAAACTAATAATCCAGTTTATAGTATACGGGTTAATTTCGAGTGTTTTCAATTTTTCACAAATAATGTTATGAGATAACGAGTCAAACGCTTTCTTATATTCTTTCTTATATTTCTCTTTCTTTCTTTTATATAGCGATAGCACACGTCAGAAAGTTGTTCTTAAATATTTATTTTTTATTCAAAACTTTAAAGATTTCATTTTCGACTTGCGCGAATTTTTCTACAGCTCTTAATTCCAAGTTCCAACTCTTTATTCATCAGAAATAGCTGCATGGACGGCTAAATACCGCCAAATAATCCTTTTGATTTAAAATACAAACATCTCCATTGTTGAATATTCATGTATACGGCGATAAAATAATTGAGGAAACTGCTTTTCACAGCCGAATTAGCCAAACAATAAACTAAGTCTGTGAGCTGTGAACAAGTCAAATATATTTGTTATCAACTTGCAGCAAGTCTGCAAATGTCAAGTTACAACAAGCCTGGTTTTAACCGACTTGCCGCAAGTTGTTTTATTAGACTTTTCAAGACTTGTTATCCACAACCTTGCTGAAAATTGTTTGAACAACTTGCAGTAAGCCTACGGATAACAACTTGCAGCTAGCTTGATTTTCTCAACTTGCATCAACATTGATGCGTTCATCAGTCTTGCTGCAAGTTGTTCCATCAGACTTGTCAAAACTTGATACCCACAGACTTGATGCAAGTTGATGAAACAAGTTGCATCAAGTCTGCAAATGACTACTTGCAGCAAGATTGATTTTCTCAACTTTCATCAGCATTGATGCGTTCATCAGACTTGCTGCAAGTTGTTCTTTCAGGCTTGCTGCAAGTTGATATTTGCAGACTTGATCTGCAAATGACAACTTGCGGCAAGTCTAATTTCAACAGGCTTGCTGCAAGTTGATGAAGTTAATTTGCTGACAACTTGCAGTAGGTCGGTAAAATTCGCAACTTGCAGCAAGCCTGTGGCGTTTCTGGCTGTGTATAATGGTTCCGCAGGAACTGGCCTAGGCTATTGCGGTTTCCAGTCGCTAATTGGGGCGAGCCTGAGCGAGCCCCACAGTTTGGTGGCTTATCGAGCTCAAGCGCAATGCAGTATGTTCGGTTGTACATATACGTTCGTACGAACACAGAACTTTCCCTACAGTGATTTAAATCCTAGCGGCCTTTCGCCTCCCACCGTCTATTTTGAGAACTTTCAGTCCTACACTACCGTGGTTTACAGTAAATTTTATGGGCCTTTCACCTCTCACCGGCTGACAATTTTTCATGAGACATGCGATGAAACATTTTCTTCATGCCAAGGAACAAATGGAAGTTGGAATGGTAAGTATTATTTAGAGTGGTAAGTATTAAGCCCATCGCAATT